TCCCACTTATTAGTGTGTTGTTTGTTTTTCCATTTCTGAGATACTTAGGATGATGGTCTCCATCCACATTGCTGCAAAAGATATTATTTCATTGCCTTTTATGGTTGAGTAAATACTCCATGGTGTGTGTGTGTGTGTATGTGTGTGTGTATATATATATATACATACACCACGTGTACTTTATCCACCTATGAATCGATGGGCACTTAGGTTGATTCCGTATCTTTGCAAGTGTAAATTGTGCTGTGATAAACATTCGAGTGTAGGTATCTTTTTGATAGAATGATTTCTTTTGGGTAAATACCTAGTAATATCTGGGATTGCTGGATCAAATGGTCTACTTTTAGCTCTTAGAAGAATCTTCTTACTGTTTTCCATAGGGGTTGTACTAGTTTGCAGTCCCACCAAGTGTATAAATGTTCCTTTTTCTCTGTATCCATGCCAGCATCTGTTGTTTGTGGACTTAATAGCCATTCTGTCAGGGGTAAGGTGGTATCTTGTGATTTTAATTTGTATTTCCCTGATGATTAGTGATGTTGAACTTTTTTAAATGTTTGTTGGCTATTTGTCTATCTTCTTTTGAAAAACTTGTTCCTATCTTTTGCCCACTTTTTGATGGGTTTTGTTTTCTTTTTCTTTTTCTGATTTGTTTTTCTTTGGTAGATTCTGGATATTAGTCTTTTGTCGGATGTATACTTTGCAAATATTTTCTCCCATTCTGTAGGTTGCCTGTGAACTCTGTTGATTATTTTTTTTGCTGTGCAGAAGCTTTTTTTTTTTTTTTTTTTTTTGTGCAAAAGCTTTTTTTTTTTTTTTTTTTTTTGTCACAGCAACCTCAGACTCCTGGGCTCAAGCGATCCTCCTGCCTCAGCCTCCCGAGTAGCTGCGACCACAGGCATGCGCCACCATGCCCAGCTAATTTTTTTTTTCTATATATATTAGTCGGCCAATTAATTTCTTTCTATTTATAGTAGAGACGGGGTCTTGCTCTTGCTCAGGCTGATCTTGAACTCCTGACCTTGAGCAATCCGCTCGCCTCAGCCTGCCCAAGTGCTAGGATTACAGGCGTGAGCCACCGCGCCCGGCCCAGAAGCTTTTTAATTTAATAAAGTCCTATTTGTTTATTTTTGTTGTTACTGTCTTTGCTTTTGAGGTCTTAGTCATAAATTCTTTGCCTAGACCTATGTCTAGAAGACAAAACCTTTCATTTTTTAAGACTCAGCTAAGATATCACCTTGTAAAGGCTTGCCTATCAAAGCCAATTACTTCTGTGGCCTTGCAGCACTTTGTGCCTATAGTTAGGGTGGCATTTGTCACATTGTATTTTAGTGACTAGATTGTAAGCCTCTTGAAGACAAGGTTTGTGTCTTACCTTTCTGTTCCTGGTTCCCAGTGTGTTGCTTGACAAAGAGTGGGGGGCTAAGTAAATGTTGCTGAATTGAATGGCATTAACATCTAAAAATTAGGAAGGTAGTAATGGAGTCATTAGGCAGAGAGAAAAATTCGTAATTTTTCCTCTTAAATGCATATTCTTTTCCTTTCAGTATTTCTCTTACTTTCCCTTTTTTCTCTCCTTAGTTTGCAACAGACTCATTTATATTTTCAGGCAGCTGATCCTTCATTTTCCATGAGGATCATCAACATGTAATAGCTGTGTCCAGGGTCACAAGCTAGTAAGTGGTGGAAGTGGGGTTCACATCCAGATTTGCCTGCCCTAAATACTCAAGCAGATAGCTGCTGGAGTACTCCTGACCATGTCTGTGGTCTTGGAGAAGTTGCAAGTTTTCTAAATCTCAGTTTCTATGTGTAAATAAGGGATAATAATAATACCTACTTCATAGGGTCCACGGAAGAAATGAATGAGAGTGTCAATGTAAACACTTAGAGCTTGGCCCAGGGTAACTACCCAGTAAACAGAGCTGCACACTCAATTCTTACTATTACTGCTTTATGTTGTGTAGGAGACACACAGATTATCTTCCTTGGTTTTAGACTGTTAAGAGTCATAGAGGTCCACCGGGCACGGTGGCTCACACATATAATCCTAGCACTCTGGGAGGCCGAGGTGGGTGGATTGCTTGGTCGAGTTCAAAACCAGCCTGAGCAAGAGCGAGACCTCGTGTCTACTATAAATAGAAAGAAATTAATTGGCCAACTAATATATACAGAAAAAATTAGCCGGGCATGGTGGCGCATGCCTATAGTCCCAGCTACTGGGGAGGCTGAGGCAGGAGGATCGCTTGAGCCCAGGAGTTTGAGGTTGCTGTGATCTAGGCTGATGCCACGGCACTCACTCTAGCCTGGGCAACAAAGTGAGACTCTGTCTCAAAAAAAAAAAAAAAAAAAATCATGGAGTTAGAGTATTGGCTCATCTGCAGAAACTGTCTGCCAGGCCCCACACTTACACACTGTTAGAACATTGTATTTGGAAGGGGTTTGGAGGTCAGGTAGGCTGACGAGTGCTCATCCAAAGCAGCAGTCCTCTCTGCCGTTTTCCGCGAGAGGTGATTAGGCACAGCATTTGCGGTGACAGAGCTGAGCACTTCAGAAGGAGCATGTAATTGTTTAGAAATCATATATATGTACTTTGCTTTTGTTTAAAATTCTGTCCTCCCTATAATGTAAAAATCATCTTTTCACACTGTAATCCTTAGTCCTCTAAAATCCGTGAACAGACTTACCTCTGTACTAATGATGCAGGGATCGCTTTTAACTCAGATGCTTTCCTCAGTAGTCTTTCTTCTCTCTTCCCCTTTCTTTTATTTTTTATTTTTATTTATTTTTATTTTTTCTTTATACCAGAAACGTCTGTTGTATCCCCTTTCTTTTATTTTTTTTATTTTTTTTTTTTTGAGACAGAGTCTCGCTTTGTTGCCCCAGGCTAGAGTGAGTGCCGTGGCGTCAGCCTAGCTCACAGCCAACCTCAACTCCTGGCTCAAGCAATCTCCTGCCTCAGCCTCCCAAGTACTGGGACTACAGGCATTCGCCACATGCCCGGCTAATTTTTTTTTTTGTATATATTATTGGCCAATATTCTTTCTATTATAGTAGAGACGGGGTCTCGCTCTTGCTCAGGCTGGTTTCGAACTCCTGACCTTGAGCAATCCGCCCGCCTCGGCCTCCCAGAGAGCTAGGATTACAGGCGTGAGCCACCGCGCCCGGCCTCCCCTTTCTTTTAAATCAGAGAATCCATGAAGATTCTGGTAGGGTCAGCTAAATTTTTTATGTGATTGTGTGCTTTTTTCTGGAGCAAGATTCAATGACCTAAAAAAGTTTTAAGACTCACTGCCTTGGACATGCTCATGATTACATTTTGCTCTGAGATGAAGGATATGCATCTCAAGGGGACAAAACGGTTAAGAACCACTGACTTTTATTTTTCTCACAATGGTAAGAAAGTTCTTGAAGACAAAGGTATTAGGAGTTGCATGGAAAAGGGAAAATCTGAGAGTTAAAGCAGAGATAGAGACATAGAGCTCACCTGTCTCCACCAAGCCACTACCTGACATCTTTGCTAAATAAAGTCTTCCATCTAGTCTGCTTAGGGAATGATTTCTGATATAATAAGGGTTGCTAAGCAGCAAGTAGGATTCAGTAAAGCAGTCTTTTTTTTGAAATCATCGATGTTTCAAAATGAGGAATAACTATTTTACCCTGCAGTGGACAATCACTTTACCTAAACATAGATAGTATTGTGCCTCTTATACATTCAAATACATACATATGCATGCACACAAATACTGTGCTTAACATAGTTCCATACCCCCTTCAAGATCAACCTCATTCCTGGTTTTTTTTTCCTGCTGTACCAAGTCACATGCTATGCTATTGAGAATCTGATGAGTGATATTCTGTCCTTAAAATAGTCATCCTCCCTTCTTAAGACCACAAATTGTTATCGCATAGGAAGGGCAGGGTAACTGAGTTGTAGACAGAAAAGCTTGCAAGTGTTCCTTTCCTTTCCTGAGGTATCTCTAGATCATTGTCAGCCCAACTAAATTCCCTGTGCAAGTTTTGATAAAACTCATGCACACATTTTATTTTTGTACGTAGCTATCTTGTCATCAGTCAGCTTAATCATAATAATGCCCATGAAATGTGTAATTTTTCCACGATTTTGCATAATATCTAAAAGAGAAAGTAAAATGAAGTACTATGGCTATAAATATATTTTAAAATTTAGTAGAGAGCACAGTACTATAGAGGTAGGTGCTAAAATTGAACTAAAGTATAAACTACGTTTTTAATTTTTTTATATTTTTAAAAACTGAATAAAGTAATTGAAGGCATCCTAATTATGAAAGTTCCATGAGAAGTAATTGTTTTGCATTTAAATTGTTTTGCATATGTTGTCATTTTAGCTTGCTGTAGGAATGGCAAATGTATGGCTGCAGAAAGTATAGCTGTGAAAATCTGAGAAGTTCAGTATAATATAATAAATATAATAAAATATAATATATAAAATAATAAATATAATAAAAATGAGAATGTTAGCACAGCATCCTGAGAATATCTCTGTGTCAGATGTGTACTATCTGAATTCATGTAGCAAGTAGTTTTATTTTGGACTCATGAAAGCATTAATTTCCAACGTTTTCTAAATTTCCCTTAAAAGTAAATCAAGAGAAAACTTCAACAGAAAATATCACTAATTCCTTGGAGTGGACGTGGGAAGTGATGTATTCTGTTCCAGGATATGCTTTTTAATTTCCAGGAAATTACTTGGAAATGAAGGACTTTAAAGTACAAAAACGTAAAACCCTTTGCTATAATATGATCTGTGAGGTAATTATGTCTTGCCATGTAAAGACATGATGATATAGCATTCTAAAAGAAGAGTTATGGAAATTTTTTCCTTTCACAGTTGGGTCTCTTATTAGATAATTTGCATTAGTTGAATCTTTGAAAAATAGTCTAGAAAAAATACTGATACAGTTACCCTAATTATACAATATTCTCATTTTCTCATCACTCATATTATGTAAATCCTTTTCTTTCAGTTGGATATGTCAAGTGGCCAGATAACTGCCAATCTTGCAAGCAGTTATTAATGATGTCTGTAGGCACAGACCACTGAGTTTGGGTAAGTGGTTTGCTGGGGTTAAACTTACCTATAGCCCTGTGGTACTTTAAAAAATGTGAAATATTAAGAAAACAATCAAGTTGACATACAAGTACAATAGCAACAGTATTTCCGGGGATTAAATAAATAAAATTTAATTCCTCAAAGGATTTCTACTTCCCTTATTCATAAGTGTAGTTGTCTAGAGAGGAGACCTCTTGAACATTAAATAAGGAATACATCCTGAAACCTTTGTAAATTCCCACATTTTTTCTACTATTAACTGTAATAAAGTTTGAAAGAAAACTGCAACTGATTGCTTTAAACATACAATGTTGTTAAATAGAAACTAAAATCATTTACGAAATGACCTTTTGAAGCCAGACTTTCACTTTGTCATTGCCACTAGCAGTTGTCTTTCTTAATCTTATTTTAGAAAAGAAAAAAGGTCATTTTATTTATTATTATTATTTTTTTATTTTTTATTTATTTATTTTTTTGAGACAGAGTCTCGCTTTGTTGCCCAGGCTGGAGTGAGTGCTGTGGCATCAGCCTAGCTCACAGCAACCTCAGACTCCTGGGCTCAGGCAATCTTCCTGCCTCAGCCTCCCGAGTAGCTGGGACTACAGGCAGGCACCACCATGCCCGGCTAATTTTTTATATATATATTAGTTGGCCAATTAATTTCTTTCTATTTTTTTATAGTTAGAGACAGGGTCTCGCTCAGGCTGGTTTTGAACTCCTGACCTTGAGCAATTCTCCCACCTCGGCCTCCCAGAGTGCTAGGATTACAGGCGTGAGCCACAGCGCCCGGCCTCATTTTATTTTTTATTTCAGGAAATTATGGGGCTACAAACATCTTGGTTACATATTATGACTGCCACAGCACACTCATGATTCGAGATGTGCCCTACAATGCTCAGCACATCCATTAGTTATGAGTTTATCCACCCCTAACCCTCTGCTCACAAAGAGTATCACTGCTGTGTGAGCACCTTAGTGTTGATCAGTCAGTGCCAGTTTGATGGTGAGTACATGCGGTGACTATTCTTCCATTCTTGTGATACCTCACTCCGGAGGATGGGCTCAAGCTCTATCCAGGAAAATATAAGACCTGCTAGATCACCATTGTTTTTTATTTATTTATTTTTATTATTATTTTTTCCTTTCAACATATTATGGGGGTACAAATGTTAAGGTTACTTATATTGCCCATGCCCCCCCCTCTGCCCTCGAGTCAGAGTTTCAAGTGTGAAATTGTCTTTTATTATTGAGTAGTATTCCATGGTATACATATGCCATATTTTATTAATCCACTCATGGATTAATGGGCACTTGGGTTGTTTCTACATCCTTGCTATAGCGAATTGTGCTGCATAAACATTCGAGTGCAAATGTCTTTATTATAGAGTGACTTTTGTTCCTTTGGGTAAATGTGTAATAGTGCTATTGATGGATCAAATGGTAGTTATACTTGTAGCTCTTTGGAGGTATCTCCAAATTCTTTTCCAGAGAGGTTGCACTAATTTGCAGTCCCACCAGCAGTGTAAGAGTGTTCCTATCTCTCCACATCCTCCACAGCGTTTGTTGCTTTGGGGTTTTTTGATAAAGGCCAATCTCACTAGAGTTAGGTGATGTCTCATTGTGGTTTGTATTTGCATTTCCCTAATGATTAGATATGTTGAGCATTTTTCATATGTTTGCTGGCCATTAGTCTGTCTTCTTTTGAAAAGTTTCTGTTCATGTCCTTTGCCCATTTTTTGATGGGGCTGTTTATTTTTTTCTTGTTGATTTTTTTCAGTTCTAGATAGATTCTTGTTATCAGCCCTTTATCAGATGTGTAGAGGGCAAATATTTTCTCCCATTCTGTAGGTTGTCTGTTTGCTCTAATGATAGTTTCCTTGGCTGTACAAAAGCTTTGTAATCTACCTTGCTCATGGATTGGTAGAATAAACATTGTTAAAATGTCCATACTACGTAAAGTGATCTATAGAATTAATGCAGTCTCTATCAAAGTACCATCATCTTTCTTTACAGATACAGAAAAAATAATTCTACACTTTGTATGGAACCAGAGAAGACCTCGTATAGCCAAAGCAACTGTAAGCAAAAAGAACAAACTGAGAGGTATCAGTCCACCAGACTTCAAGCTGTACTACAAGGCTATATAGTATCTAAAACAGCATGGTATTGGCACAAGAATAGAGACATAGACCTTTGGAACAGGACTGAGAATCCAGAGGTGAAACCATCCACATAGTCTCATCTAATCTTTGACAAAGCAGACAAAAATATACACTGGGGAAAGGAATTCCTCTTCAATAAATGGTGCTGCGAAAACTGAATAGCAACATGCAGAAGATTGAAACTGGATCCTCACCTCACCTCTTATAAAAAAGTCAATGTACGATGGATAACAGACTTAAACCTAAGGCATGAAACCTTAAGAATCCTAGAAGAAAATGTAGCTTAGGCAAAGTATTTATGAAAAAGACTCCCAAAGCAATCATAGCAGCTACAAAAATAAATAAATGGGACCTGAAAGGTCATTTTTATTATGTCATGAGAGTCACTTATAAATGGGGTGATGCGTGGTAAATCACAAAACTTGATTGAGATGTGGAAACAGTGGTAGTCTGGAGCATGGGCCGGTCTAGTGCTCTATCATTGCATTATGTGCCATTCAGATTATTCCTTAGACAATTTCATTCGTGGATGGTTGAAGCCAAGCAAGGGTCAATTATATTCAATTGATTTACAGGCTTACTATGATAGGAATTTGTCAGGTTTAGTTTTATAACCAAGTTTATAATTAAAACACAATTGTAAGCTATTTTCACCTTCTTTGGGAGTTAAACACACTGATGAATAAATACCTCATCTGTTAATTCATTTGTCCTAAATATGACCATGATACTTAGTGATTTTATGTGTATGAATTCTTGTATTCCATGGAAAACTTCGATTTTGGTATAGGATCTTCTGAGACTGTAGCAAGGTTAGAATGATGGATAGTAAATCCTCTCAACAATGTTGTGATTCTCTTTTTTCCATTTTAAATGAAGCCCCTTAATGTTGTTCTCATGAAAAGATTTTTTTTTTTTTTTTGAGACAGAGTCTCGCTTTGTTGCCAGCAGGCAGAGTGAGTGCCGTGGCGTCACCCTAGCTCACAGCAACCTCAAACTCCGGGCTCAGCAATCCTACTGCCTCAGCCTCCTGAGTAGCTGGGACTACGGCATGCGCCACCATGCGGCTATTTTTATATATATCAGTGCCAATTAATTTTTTCTATTTATAGTAGAGACGGGTCGCTCTTGCTCAGGCTGGTTTTGAACTCCTGACTTGAGCAATCCGCCCGCCTCGCCTCCCAAGAGCTAGGATTACAGGCGTGAGCCACAGCGCCCGGCCGAAAAGATTTTTAATTTTTGCCAACTGGTAACACAAAGGGAACATCTGTACTGTTTTTTTTTTTTTTTTTTTTTTTTTTTTTGAGACAGAGTCTCGCTTTCTTGCCTAGGCTAGAGTGAGTGCCGTGGCGTCAGCTGCTCACAGCAACCTCAAACTCCTGGCTCAAGTGATTCTCCTGCCTCAGCTCCCCAAGTAGCTGGGACTACAGGCACAAGCCCCATGCCAGCTGATTTATATAATACTACTATATAATAGTTGGCCATTAATTTCTTTTATTTTTATGTAAGAGACGGGGTCTCGCTCAGTTGGTTTTGAACTCCTGACTTGAGCAATCTGCCCGCTTCGGCCTCCCAGAGTGCTAGGATTACCAGGCGTGAGCCACCGCGCCGCCCCATCTGTATCGTTTAAACAAATATTTAGAATATCACATCAAATGTAAGTATCACCACCTCTCCTTCACTGTTGACTTGCAATAAAAAACTTGGGTGATCGTTTCTGGCAAGAAAGAAGTGATTTTTTTTTTTTTTTTGAGACAGGGTCTCACTTTGTTACCCAGGCTAGAGTGAGTGCCTTGGCGTCAGCCTAGCTCACAACAACCTCAAACTCCTGGGCTAAAGCAATCCTACTGCCTCAGCCTCCCAAGTAGCTGGGACTACAGGCATGTGCCATCATGCCCAGCTAGTTTTTTCTGTATATATTAGTTGGGCAACTAATTTCTTTCTATTTTGAGTAGAGATGGGTCTCGCTCTTGCTCAGGCTGGTTTCGAATCTGACCTCGAGCAATCGCCCGCCTTGGCCTCCCAAAGAGCTAGGATTACAGGCGTGAGCCACCGTGCCCAGCCAGAAGTGATTATCAAGTATGTGTAGTTTCAAGGATAAATCTCTACTATTCTAGAGTATAGCTAGTTTGTCTTCTACTCTAGAAATGAAACTATCTTCTCTTTCTTATAATTAAAAATATTAGTTCAGTAATGTAGTACTTTTCAAGCAAAAACATGATATGAGTCCTATATGGTTTTCTGTTATATATATTTAGAGCAGGTCCTCAAATAATATCATTTCATTATAACATTGATGTGAAAAAATTGATTCCTGGCCTGGAACACTGTCTGTGTGGAGTTTGTATGTTCTCCTCATGTCTGTGTAGGTTTTTCTCTGGGCACTTCAGTTTCCTCCCACATCCCAGAAAGGGCACTTTGGGTTCACTGGCACGTCTACATTGTCCCTGTATGAGTGAGTGTGGAGGTGAGTGAGGCCCTGTGGTGGTACGGTGTCCTGCCTAGGGTTGGTTTCCACCTTGCACCCTGCAAAGAGAGGCTCTGGCCACCCAGATGCTGAACTGAAATAAGTGGATTGAAATAATGAATGAATGCAAATTATTGTAAAATAAAAACTGCAAAGTATATGACAATCATACAAATGCAGGACAGTAAATGGTGCTGTACAAAGGTACTCAATGGGTCTACCATATTTGTTAGTTTTTGGACTTCGTGGTGGTGGTCCTTACAATTTTCGCTTTGCATTTATTCCATGATTTAACCCACCACCACTATGACTCCTGTCACTCACTGATTCACCCAAAGTTGGGTAAATAATTATTTTACTTGTTTTTATTAATCTTTCTTAAATGTATTTATAGGTCACATTTATTTCAATGTTTAATAGTAGAAGTGTTTTGGATCTTTATTTAGAACTTTGATGATATTTTTGTGACCAGAAATATGCTGTAGAAACTTAACTCTTTTTTCTATCATTTAGCCTGTGGTAAAATTGGTTTCATTATAAGTCATTTTGCTTAAAGTCACAGTTTCCAAGAACCTGTCAGTATTGAGGACCTACTATATTTGCTCATTAGGTATCTCTGGAATAAGATCAAAATTGATTCTTGGCTTTGTTTTCAGGTCCCTTTGTGGTACGTGCTTTTCTTCGTAGTTCAACAAGTGAAGGTTTGTTACTAAAGATTGATCCATTGTTGCCTAAAGAAGTAAAAACCGAAGAAAGTAGCAAAGAAGCTGCCTAAATGTGTTGAATTGTGAAATTATTTTTTAGTGGATTAGGAAGCAACAGAGAAAATTATAAAACTGCATAATTTCTACATTTGGTGTCTTATTGTCTTGTTATTTCTTGACCATCATACTTGAAAGTGAATTTCAACACTGAAAAATCTTACACAATTTCACGAATAAGAAAATAAAATTTTCCCTATGTCTGAACCTGCCCTTTAGATCCTGTCGCATTTTCTTCCTTAGAAACCGGAATCTATGTATTGGTAATTATAGCAGCAACTTCTGGGTTAATAACCTTCCCTTGGGAGCCATAACCATCTGAGCGAATAGTTACATCCTCAGTTCCCATAAGGCAGAGAATGGCAGAGTTGTGAGCTACATCATATTTATGACCATTTTCTTTTTAAAAATGTGGAAATGTGCATTCTAAAGAATTCTGCATATCACCATTTATGATGGCATGAATGTAGAAAATTACTAAGCCATTAAAACATCTGTGGGTAATCTCTTTTTCTCTTGGGAATCAATATGTAATGCCTTTTTGTGATGATAATACCTTTTGTTTTTATGATGCTTTGCAATATACAAGGCACTGCGTATATAGTGTTTTCATATACTTGACCTCATTTGATCCTGAATTCCTCTACTTAATAACATAATAGGTGTTTGGTTAGTGTTTGTTGAATGAATACCTCCATGAGGTAGCTAGGACAACTTTATTCATAGATGAAGAATCAGGTAAAAAATAAAGTGTCTTTCATCAAGAGCTAGTTTGCAGACGAGTGTTAATCCTTAAGTGCTTACTATGGGACAAAATGAAGAGAAGGATAATTTTAGCATGCATGTAGTTTCCAACTGTCCTTTCTTGGGAAGGATTTCTTTACTCTGAGAGTATCTTCTTTTTTTAGGGAACATTCAAATGCTTTTTATTTTATGAAAAATAGTGACAGTAAATTTATGGTGGGGTTTTAATAACATCCACTTTGTAAAGGAAATTTTTGACAGTTTCATGTAGGTCTCCCAAGTTGTTTTTGAAATTGTAGTAGTCTGGGAAGTTCAAATGACTATGAATAGCCACTGTACCCCACTAAGTTTTTTTCCATAGGAAAATTAAAATTTGGGGGCTGTTTACCAAAAACAGCAATAACATTACTACAAAATAGTAACCGCAATTACCTTTTCTTGAGTGCTGCAGTGGTTTGAACATATCCCCCGAAAAGCTCACGTTGGAAACTTAATCCCCCGTGCAACAGCGTTGCAAAGTGTGGGTCATGAGGGCTCCACCCTCATGCATGGATTCACGCCCCTTCGAAGGCTTGAAGCTGCAGGGTCTCCTGCTCTCTTCCTCACCCTCTCTTGCCCTTCTTTTGCCTCTGCCATGGGGTGATGCAGCATGAAGGTCATTGCCAGATGCTGGCCCTTGATCTCAGACTTCCCACCCAGTCTTTAGAACCGTAAGAAATAAATCTCTGTTCCTTATAAATTACCCAGTCTCAGGTATTTTGTTATAGCAGCACAAAACAAAGTACCTACTACTATCTTAGCTTTACATGCATCTTCTCATTTTATCCTCACAGCGATTCAGTGAGGGCTGTGGTACTTCCATTTTACAGATAAGGAAAGTGAAACTTGTGTGAGGTCCCATAAGTGGCAAATTAAGATTCAAAACTAGATCGATCTAATTTTGAAGCCCTTAATCTGTCTTAACCATTAAGCTATTTTACCTCCTATTCCTATGATCTAAGATAAACTATTTAACAGAACAGTTTTAAAACTTTAAAATATTGAATAATTACACTTCAGTTTACTGGTATCTCTAGTTAAGGTGTTATGGCAGGACTAATGTGAAGAAAGTAGAAATGGAAGAGTTAGAAGGAGCGAGGTAAGGAAAAAGTAAAGTAGGATGGAAAAGATACTTCTTTCCCGTAGTTATCATCTTTTTTTTTTTTGAGACAGAGTCTTCACTCTGTTGCCCAGGCTAGAGTGAGTGCCGTGGCATCAGCCTAGCTCACAGCAACCTCCAACCCCTGGGCTCAAGTGATCCTCCTGCCTCAGGCTCCCGAGTAGCTGGGACTACAGGCATGTGCCACTGTGCCGGCTAATTATCTATATATCTATATATATATATATTAGTTGGTCAATTAATTTCTTTCTATTCTTAGTAGAAACGGGGTCTCGCTCTTACTCAGGCTGGTTTCTTTTTTTTTTTCTTTCTTTCTTTCTTTTTTTTTTTTTTGAGACAGAGTCTCGCTTTGTTGCCCAGGCTAGAGTGAGTGCCGTGGTGTCAGCCTAGCTCACAGCAACCTCAAACTCCTGGGCTCAAACAATACTCCTGCCTCAGCCTCCCGAGTAGCTGGGACTATAGGCATGCACTACCATGCCCAGCTAATTTTTTCTATATATTAGTTGGCCAATTAATTTCTTTCTATTTATAGTAGAGACAGGGTCTCGCTCTTGCTCAGGTTGGTTTTGAACTCCTGAGCTCAAACGATCCACTCGCCTCTGCCTCCCAGAGAGCTAGGATTGATTACAGGCGTGAGCTACCATGCCGGGCCAGTTATCATCTTTTGAAAGCTTATTTGAAGATTCTAATTCACAAAATAGAAGCTCTGTTATTTTAAATATTTGTAGATTTTCTTCTGATTAATGGAGTAAGCATTCTCTTATTGAAAATTTTAAAGACACTGATTAAATATTTTAAAAATCACTCATACTCCTGTCCCTCAGGGATAACCAGCATTAATATTTTGGTACTTTGTTGTTTTCAGTTGAGTGAGAGGTACGTGTGTACATGGCATTATAAAGCATTTTTTCATATTATTTTAAATGCCATATGAAAGGCATCATTTTAATGACCGAACAACATCCCATCCTGTTGATCTTCTAACATATGGATCATTCCCCAGTGGTTGTGTATTTAACTTTTCAGGGTTCCCCCCCCCCCATTATTTACAGTGTTTTGGAGACAATCTGGAGGCATGGTTTATTTTCCTATTTCCAGAAGTGGCATTCGTGGGTCAAAAGGTCTGATGTTGCTAAAGGTTTTATTATGTCTTAGGTACCTTATTGATCAGAAGAAGCCAGAATAAGGAAATATGACTGGAAAACTTGGTCTGCGCAGGAACAGTCCAGGATCTTATTAACTGGCCTATGAATAAATTATTCTCTACCCTTCCATTAGAGCATTTTTTCTGTTGGCTAAGTATAGAACTTTGTTGAATGTTTATGATGGCACACTTCTGGAAAAATAGAACTGTACTATATTACTCTTAATGCAAATCTCATTCTCTTTTTAAAATTAGCGTATTTTCTTCTTAGAGAACAGTAAATTAAATTTTATGTGAAAAAAGAGTAAGAACTTAAAAGTTTTATAGTAAATAATAGTGATTCTTAAACTTTAGTTTGCATCTAAATCACCTGAGAGGCTTGCAAAACACAAATTGCTGGCCCCTCCCTAATCATCTACGGTGGACCTTAAAAGGGTCCTGCATTTCTAACAGGTAATGATCATGGTTCAGGGACCACACTTTTAGAACCACTGATATCTACTAATGGTTCTTTTAACCCTGGCTGGATAAAAAAAAACAAAACAAAACAAAACCCAAAAAACCTCTGGCTTTGGTGCCAGCATCAGTTTATTTTAAAATTTCACAGGTGATTCTGATGCATTGGAATTGAGAATAGTATGCAATTACTCAAATTTTAAAGGATATACAATTTGCAGTATAAATCAAGATTTTAAAGACTGAGAGGAAAAAAAGATAATGCACTGAACTTAAGAGTCAGGACTGGTTTCTAACTTTCTGCCCTATCTGTAGTGTAAAGAATTTAAATTATGTGTTCTAACCCTGTGGGCAAACAATTCAGATTCTGGGATCTTCTGTAAAACAAGGACATCATAAGATGATGACAAATGTACTTTCTAGCCAAAATTTTATGATACACCTTTTAGCAGGTGGCATTTCATGCTAGTTAGAAATGATGTAACATAATATTTATTATTAGCATTACCAATATAAACACAAAAATGAAACATACATTTAATGGCATTATTAAGCACTAACTTGTTAGAAACCAGATGTTTGGGGTAGAATGTTGCGATTTACTAAATGGTAAAGATTTGGTTAGGGTTAGGGCTAAAGTTAGGTTTAGGCTTAGGATTGGATTGGGGTTAGGGTTGTTAGGGTTAGAAAGAAAGAATAACAAGAATAAAAATAACAAGCTAAGATTTCTAAATTATTAGCTTAAGTTATCAATTAAAACTCAAGGACTTTCTGTGACACTGCTATAATAATCTGTAAGAGATATTGCAAGGACTGTTGAAGAACTGAAACAGATGTTAGCCAAATACAATGTTTGATCCTCAAGCTTGCCAAATTTTATTAGTTTAATTCATAGCTTTATGTAGTCTCTTATGAGGAAGTTAGGATATTGATTAGGAAAGAGTGCTATCTAAACATTTGGAATGAGCTACAGTGGAGAATTTGGCTGACTCAGACCACGTTAAATTCCCAACCTACAGAACCTACCTTGTTACTAAATATTAATTTGGGCATTTTGCCTATGTATCCTCATTTACTATATATATATTTGCCTTTTTTTTAGTTTCACAGTGCATACCTATAGACTAGTCTAGAAGTCAGGTTGCAGCAATACCTTTGACAAGATGTCTAGATCTCTGTACAAAGGACAAGAATGTTTAAGCCTTGTATACATCCTTTTGTAATTTCACTTCTGTACCTAAGGAGTGCAGAGACCAGCAGGAGAATCAAGTTGCCAGTTTCTCAAAGGGACGTTTCTGAGTCACGACAGCAAGACCAGTGATTGTCTCAAGGATGAAGCTAGGGTTCTCTCACCTTCTTCAGAGGAATCCATCAGACAAAACGAAAGACAGTTTTACAGGGTGAACATGAAGTTGTCCTGATTATGTCTCACACGCACACACACCCCTACCCAAAGTGCTCAGAGGACTTGTAAATTTAATAAGCACAACTTCCAAAAGACACTCACAGGGTTTCACGTTAGACTGCAGAAGCCAGTAAGGCAAAGGCCGGCGGATTCTGCATTCCAACAGCTCGGCCAGACTAGGGTTAATTGAATGGTGCTGCTCTGCCCCCCTGTGGAAATACTGAGAAGCGCATGAGAAGATGTTGCTCAGAACCCAGAATCAGCCAATAAAAATACTGGGAGTTATAGAAACAAGCAAAGTACA